ATTGTGCTCCGTAAAATGTACAAATTTTTTGCTAGTATTTGAAAGCTTGACAAATAATTTTATAACAAACATTAAAGTTATATTGCATAGATCATTATTTCTTTTGACTAAAATAAAATTTTGAAATTTCTCAAATGTGGCTGACTTTTGATAAATAATTATTCTTATTTTAATAAACACAGATTCAATACAGATAAAAGCTAAATATAATTTTGAATGTTTTTCTTAAGAAAAAGAAGAAAAAAAGGCAAATTTGTTTTAATGAAATAATTTTATGGATAAATTAAAAATGAAATTTTATAGTTTTTATTATATCACTTATTCAAACAACAAATTTTATAAATTTGAATTTTATTCTCATGATAATTGAGGATCTTTTTCGATTATCACAGTTTATCCTATCACATTGAAAAAAAAATTTCTTCAAAATGCACCAATTTTAATTTAAATGATTTACTTTACTACACTCCTTTTTACAGTACTTTTTTAAAGTAACATTGATTTTATGCTTTATTTATCATTTTAATGCAACATTATATCATATACTAAAGTATTTATAGACTTTTGACTTTTTTATTTATTCTGAAACTCATTTATAAGTTTCAAGTTCATTAGTAAAAATTATATTATTCCCAGAAAAATAATAATGACAAATCTTGTTTTCATGCCTTAAAAAGAACAAAAAGTTCTAACTGCCCTGATTTTGGTATATTCACCCATTGCAAGAGTAAATACCTGTGTAAAATACCTTACCCACTGGGTATTTACCTGACGCTCATTTATAATTGCTATCTCAATAAATCGAACCTCATCTTCACTTTAAAAGTTTTTGTTGCAGTTTTTTCTTTCAAAGTTTTTACTACAAAATCAAAAGATTTACCCCTTGTTATAAATTTTAAAAAAAAATCATTAGTTACAAATTTTATGTATAAAAAACTATAAATGAGTTAATTTGAAAGAAATAATGTAATTTTTTTTTTTACTGAAACAAGACAAAAAAATGTTTGGTGTTTTCTTTTATTATTGAATTTATTTCAGACATTATTTGATTTGGTATGAAACTTTTTAGGTCCTTATTTTTAAGTACTAGTTCCCTAAACACTCATTATTTTAGTTCAAATTTACTTACTGCCCTGTCATTAAAGTTGGTAAATTTAAGCAAGGAAGAATTAAAAACATTATTACAATCAAAAGAATCACTATAGAGGAAACATGGACTGAAAACATTAAAACGCATTCGATTGCTGGAGCTAGAGAAAAAAAGATTTAACATTATGAAAATACTTGTACAAATATTTTAAAAGCAAAATACTCAAATACAAAATTGAAAAAGTCATTATAATGATGTATTATATAGCTATTATAGAATTATAAAGTTTCTAAAAAAACTCAAAATTTAAATTTTTTGTCTTCTACATAGATGTCTTAGATTTTTATCCAATTAAATTACCTCATACTGTCATAAATTGTCTCATACTATCTTATAAGTGTATTATCTAAAAGTAATTCTCTCTCATTATCAAAATCTGAGAAGAGATTGTTGTTAATAAAAATAATTAAAGGCATGCTAACAGACAATCTCTGTGCATATTTTTTTTTTCAATTAAAAGTAGACTAACAAAAAATGATTATTTGATAAACAGCTTGAGAGCATTTTTTAATAATTTTAACTATAAATTATAAGAAAATAAACTTTAAAATGTGCATTTTTTGAAAAAAAATATTTAGACATTAGTTTTAAAATTTAAAATTACTTAAAAAATTTATTAATATGATCCTCCCCGACCTCTCCCTAAAAAGATACTTATATTATAGAATATTGACCAGTTGAGAATAGTCCAAACGAAGTAAATGTTTGTAAAAGTAATCTGAATTTAACCTATAAACACATAATTTTACCAATGTGTAATTGTTATTTAAGCAATGAATTAATTTTTTTCAAAATGGAATCTGAATAAAAAGTTAATATTTTTAAAAGAGAGAGTCTTATTTTTATAAAAAGGGTAAAGAGGGTACATTTATTGGGATCAAAGGGTTAGCTGGAAGGGTTGCCCTTCACAAAAGAGTTAAAGAGAACACTGGTATTAAAATATACTGCTAATGAATTTCTTCTAACAAAATAACTAAATGTTGCATTTTTAGAATGTTTTTCAATGCCATTGTAAAATTATAGTTATTTGAGATAAGATTTTGTTTTTTTCCGATCAATAATATAAAAAAATGTTTAGTTTAGTGTGTCTTAAAGAACATTTTCAAGCTCTTCCAACACTTATGTATCTTTGAATTATTAGTTATGTTATATCATTAGTATTGTTAAAAGTTTCATATTGTTGTATTAATTTTAAAAAAAATTTTGAATTACCTTTTTTCAAACTTATGAAGTTTCTAATAAGCTGAACCTTGATTAATTGCATTCTATTTATCCTTTTACAGTTATTTCCAAATAATGTAATGTAAACAATTGATAACTGTTTTTCCAAGTTTATAGCTTCTTGGTAAAGCTCAACATTATTTATCAATTTTAACATATTTTTATTGAATCCATTTTAATGTTCATATTTGATCCTTTTACTGTTACATTATTTGGGCAAATTAGTTTAAGCTTTTCCCTACCATTATCACATTATCATTACTTTAAATTAGAAGTCAGTCAAATATTATATAAGCATATTTTTGGCAGTTTCAAACACTTCCCTTATCAGCAAAATTAAGCAAATTTCAAACCTTTTTCCATGTGTCAGGATATTGCATCACCCTCTGGTTTTTACTTTCTTTACAGTACTAATTTAATTTAAGGATAAAATTCTAATAAACGATATTAACTTGGTTTTAAACAAGTATTATGTACAACTCATAAAAGCTAATATAAAAATTATAAAAACACTCCCCTTTCTTTCGCCGTTTTTTTTTACTACAAAAATAGTTCAAGGTCAGTTAAATGGGAGTCTGATTTAAATTTGGAAAAAGATTATCCTCATCTACCCCTCTCCTGTGATTGGATATCAAAATAAAAGTAGGGTGTGGGAAAACCAACAGGGAAAATGAGATCTTCAACGAAACCATGTCTAATATTAGTCTTGTTTTAACCATGCACTATTTTTAATGTGTATGGTTTTTGCAACTTTTTATTTAATTTGCTTACATGTGAAAATTAAAGTTTCATTCCTATTTGAAAATCTGGTAATTTCTGATGTATTTAATTTATTAGTCATAAGTATGAAAAAATTTGCACCAATGTAATTTTCAAAAAGCTCCAATGAGTAAATTCTTGAAGGTGAAAAGGGAATACATAATTTTTCCCTCTGACTTTTTCTTGTTGGATTATCTTTCACTTTGATATTTAGAAAGCCAGAATTTTTAGCAGACAATTTTCGTTTCTGTACATGGCTTTAGTTACCGTTCGGTATGCAGTATTTTTTTCAAAGTTTAAATATAATCATTGTGTTAACTTCATTTAACTTTTTTATCATTTATGAATTTGGATTTAATATAAGGATTGGATATTAAGCAATTCTTTCTTTTCTTTGGGAAATAAATAGAATAAAAAATAACTTTAATTTTATAGAATTTTTATTAATGTTTTTGTCATGATTAGCGTTTTCTCGGTTTCTGTAAACATATAAATATTGATAATGAAACTGCAAAATACATCTAATTGAATTGATTCATGCAGTTAAGTTGGGAGTTATTGCTTTGAGTTTAATTCACTTATAATTGAGACTGTTCCTTCATAAATTTTTTATCTTCATAATTTCTTAAATTCATAGTTGATTGCTCAATTTGTATATAGTTTAAAATTACTCCAATTTTCTTAAGTATTTTTAATTGATGAAAAATTGCATCATATTATAACTTCCGAATTGTTATTTTTTTATGTATATATATTTTGCTTTAATTGTAAGTACTATTTTACATTTGATTGATAATTCATATTCACTTATTTTCAAGATAGGGTAAAAGTATAAAGCAAATAATTCAAAAATAATTTTACAACTATGGCACACAAAAATGCCTAATGTAAAAAGTTTTATAGATTGTGCATGTTTTACAAGGAAATGCCCCAAAGGCAAAATATTACTCTTTAAACTTTCAGTTCATTTACCTTTAAATTAAGAAAAACTTTGTAGCTCACCTGCAGTTGTGGTGTAGCATTTAGACTTTCCATTTTCTGTTGAATGGTTCGGGTTTTAATAGAATATTTATTATCTTTAACTTTCTTTTCTAAAAATGAACTATTTAACATGTTTAATCAATTTATAAATTATTTTAAAAACAAAAAATATCAGTACCTGTTTAATTTTATCTTATTAAAATATATGGATTAATTAAAAAATGCATAATTTAAGTTAAAAAAATTTTTGTTATTTTTTTTAAATTACAAAATTAAGTTAAAAAATTTTGTAATTTAAAATTTACATTAAAATGTTATAATTAGTTAAAAAATAATGGAAATATTTTGATTAAAAAAAAATTAAAAATTTTTGTCTTAAAAATTACATTTTTGAAAAGAATTAATTTTGATTTTAAAAAAATTATAATTTATAAATTGAATAAAACTTATTAAATAGTTATTAACCTTTTTAGATAAAGAAATTTAAATTGAACTCCTGACCTCACTGGTAGACACCACTATTACACCACGAAAAAAAAAATTAACTAAACCAATATTAACTTAGTTTTAATATAAACTAAAATACGCGTTTGAAAATAATGAAGTTGTATTTCTTGAAACTGAAATGAAATCAATTATAATAGTTAAATAAAAATAAAGAAAATTAAAAAAAACTTGTTTTAAGGAAAAGTTTTCAGCAATTTTTCAAAATTGCCTCATGCAAGCAATACACACCATCTCCCTTCCCACAAATCGTGATGTCATTTTCGACCAATAGCGTGTCCTGGCTATTCTGAAATTTAATCGCACGTTTAATTTGCGCCCTATCTTAACCACATGCTCCTTAATTTAGAGCTTAATTTTGTTTTAATAGGAATTTTTGAGATGTGTTCCACCCTTGTTAGATACAAACTTGTTTGCATGCAATCGCTTGTGAGAACTAAACAATAATATTTGCTTACTTTTTCTGGGTTAGACTAAAAATCCCAATTGAAATTGCAAGCATTCTCTTTAAATAGAATTAAATTAATTTTGTTCGGTATATTATGAACTGATAACATATCTATAAGACTGCTTTAAAACTCTACTACGCTTTTTAGTTTGTCTCAGAAAGATATTTTTGAGCAATTATATAGTTTTTTTGCAAATTCAAGAATGGTATTTATTATAAGGATATTTTTTTTGTTGTATAATTTAAATATTTTTAGATTTTGTCTGTTTTATTTTCTAAGTATTTCTTTTGTGTATGTGGATAAGCAATTCAATACTGCTATTTGAATTACTTTGTTGTTTTTGTTTTCTTTTATTACTTTGAAATATTTCTTGTAGTTTGTGTTACTAAAAACTTTTAATTTTATTTCAAAAATTCATTTATTCCTTAGATGTTGTTGAAAATTTTTATTTTATACTGTAAGTAAACTTATTTATTTAATCTTGTACATTTTGACAATAATTTGTTTATAATAAATATTTCTATCAAGTGGAATATTTTTTCTAACTTTTATCTAAAATTTAACAAGAGTTAACTTAGAAGTTGGAATTGCTAATGTGTGTTTTGAAGACTTTTATTTATCTTTCAGGTTTTGAAGAGGTTATTTATTTGTTATTTCTTAAATTAAAAGTTCATGCATTTTTCTTAATATGGTCACATACATTTTCCTTAATATGGTCATATATTTTTCTTAATATGGTTATTAAAAAATTATATAGTATTTTGATGAATATAGAACCATAGTTTTTGATATATATAATTTTCTCAAGATTCTTAAAATAAGATCCTTAATACATTGACCTCTAATAATGTTTTTAGATTTGCTATTCCTTTTTCTTTTCACTAAGAATGTCCTTTTTATATTGACACTTTAATATTTGAATATATATATATTTACCAGCAGGCTGTAAAGTTTCACATTTATCAAAAGTTTCTTATTTTCTATGTTTGCAGTAAATTTTAGTTGAATGTTAAATAACTGGTAGATTCTTAAACTGTTATTCAAAGAAACATTTAAAATATTTTTTAAAATTTCTCTTAAATACTTTTTAGAGAGGGGTTTACTAACAGAGCTTACTAACAGAGAGCTTGATGACATTTTTTAATTCTGTTACATTTGTTTGAATATTTTAAATAATTTGAATATCATGTGTATGTTTCAGTAAAATATTTCACTAAGTTTGTAAACTTGCAGTGACTCATGCTAGTAAATGATGTTAAGTAAAATATGGAACTAAAAAAAATTAATAAAAAATACATGTTACAAATTAAAAATTGTATGCAAGTTTCAATTAGAGTGCACAATTGTGTACAGTTACATTAAAGCAGCTTTAATGCAAAGTACCATGCAGAAAACATTACAAAAACAAATGTTGCAAAAGTGTGAAATATTTAAATCAGCCTATGAGAAAGGGCTTTAAAAGTACTTAAGAAAAATCAGCGTGACAATTTCTTTACTGCTCTTTTTATTTTTTTAAATTCAGTTCTTTTTGTTTTCAAATTTTTTTTATACCTATTTGTAATGTTTTTTTATGTAATTTTTCTGTAATGTGCTTTTTAACCAAATATAATGCTCCATCATAACTTTGATGCCTGTGTATTATTTTCATGGTTTTTAATTTGTTTTGATTTTTTTGAATCTCTCTTATACTTATCAATCTTTATATCATAATATTAATTACTTGTAGGACCCATCTTCACTATGCTGCTTCTTACAGTAATTCACCTTTAATGAAATTTTTTGCTGGAAAAAGATGATCAACTTGCCTGGGAGAGGATGAAGAATACTCTGAATACCTCTACAGTAAGTTCTAAATAATATAAAGCTTGTAAATTTCTTTATCACATATACAGATAACCCAAGTATTGTGCAGACTTGGGTGACCTCCTCATTACAGGGTTCCCACACTCCTTAAAAGTCCTTAAAAATTATTTATTTTGGAAAATAAAGGCTTTTAAAAGTAATTAATTTTGGTACAAGGTTTTTAAAAATATTCTATTTTTCAGCATCACTATAGTTGATGGGGACAATTTTTTCAGTTCAAATTTTTTAAAACGAAAAGTTGATCTTTTATCACCTAGAATTAGACTATGGTTGAGTATTTAAGAGAGACAAGAAAGGGTGTGTCTGAGAGGGCTATAGGCAAGGGGGGAGGCATATTTCGCTCATATACTGGTTCTTTCATTAATATATTCTGCATTTTGTCTAGAATCTATCCCAAACTTTTTGTTATAAATGCCGATTAGAATAAAATTCTAACTTAGATTTTGATAATCATTTTATTTAGTTAACATTGCAACTTAAAATGTTTCTTCTTTTAAAATTTCTATTCAACTTTTGGTTACTTTAAAATTAGTTCATGTTTTTCATGAGATTGTTTAGTAATATTATGTAAAGTTAATTCCTAATGACAGTTTTGGTTTGAAATAATTTTATGTAATCCTCATTATAAAAGTTGAGGTACCATAAACGTTACCTGATAAGGTGATATTGTAGGATAAGAGAATGCCATTAATAATAAAAGAATACTGCTTTGTTCTAACTGTTAATTTACAATAAAAATTAAATATCAAGTCATAATAATAGTAGAGAGTAATATTAAGAATGATAGAGGATAATAAAAAATATTACAAGTAAATGTCTATAAATGATTAAAAATTAAATAATTTATCAGTATTTATTAATTAAGTATCCATATCAATTTTCTGCCTAAGGAATGTGTTGATACCCTTAAAAAATGGTTTTAGAACCTTTCATTTATGAGTTTCACTGAAAACTAATAAAAAACATTGGTTTGAAAATTATAAATCTTTTGAACATAATTGTGTTTTTGTTCTCTAAAAATTTTCATAAAAATATTTATTTCAATAAATTTAAAAAAAAAAAGTTAAGCAAAATGAAAAAAAGTGAATGATTTAAGGTGCTTAAATACCAACATTGTCTGTTTTTACTTGAAATAAGACTTAATTTGCCACGATCTGTTAAGAAAACTACTATCATGCATAATATTAATTCTTTTAATATATACCCTTATAATTGAAACATTTTATTAATGTAAAAGAAAGAATTTTTTGGGTGTAAATGAGTATTTAGCGAGATTGGCCCGCAACTAAATATGTGATGCATGTCTAGCTTAGTTGCCAACTGTTCCGATTAAATTGTGTTTGTTCTGATTTTTTAGCTTTGCTCTGAAGCTACGGGTTTAGGCCAAAATGTTCTGATTTTTTTGTCATTCTAGTGCCTTTTCACTCCTTATACCTTATTTTCTTTCCACCCAGAGCAGGTCTAAAAACGAGAAGCAGGGCAGGTGATTTTTCCGCGAATATCACAGAATTCTGTTAGACCATTGGTTAGCGGACTTCGCGAATCAAATCTTTATAATCCGACGAGATTTTGAAACTATTGCTAAATCACATTGGCGAGACATTTATGATTCTTCTGCTAATTTGATTTCACTGATTTTCGCTATTTTGAATATTAGGAACTCCATCGGAATCTGCTAATATCACGATTCTTATTCGCACAATTTTAATATCAATCATCAATTTTGGTATTTAGCTGATTTAAAAGTTATGCATAATGATTCCTATTTAGGCGATTTAAAAATTCAATATTGTAATTTGTATTTTTGCGTTTTTAAAATCCAATATCAGGATTCATATTCACTCAATTTTAAAATCCAATTTCACGATTCATATTCACTGGATTTTAAAATTTCACTGGAATAAAAATAGTATTATGATTCATGTAAGAAGTAAGATTTTTCTTGAATTAATTACTATAAATATGTGATATTCTTTATTAGTAAGTAATTTAATTAAAACTGTGCTCAAAAATTTTTTTTCAGCATGAAACATTTATAAATTTATATTTTTATATCAGTAGTTTAGTTTTTGGTATTTTGTTTTCACTTTGTGTCATGATTTCCCATGATTAACTTTGTTTTCCTCTTTTTGTTTTTAACAAGTAGGCAACTATTTTCTAGAAACCACAATATAAAAACTTGTTGTAATAATTTTTTCTCAACTTTCTTTATTTTTTCAAATATATAAAGAAAAAATATTGCAATTCTTGATTTCCCCATTTAATTTTATAATTCAATTTCAATGAATTTATTAAAGAAGGAATACTGATTAGTTTCATAGATATCGTAACAGTCGATAACATCGTAACAGTTTCATAGACATCGATAACAGTCTGAAAATGTTTTTTTTTTTTTTAATCCGATCTGGGTGTGCAAAAATTGCCCTGTCCCACTTTGACGAGCCCTGTTAGTTAATACAATTTTATCAGTACTTACATTATAATAAAATTGCCTTTTATTGTTTTTTTAATTGATTAATTTTCTTTTTCAAGAAAGGTAAATAATTGGCACTGTCACTGGTGGTATATATGCATATTCGATGATAAACAATCCTATTATTTTTAAAGTCCTTTATTTTTGCTTTCTTAAAAGAGTGGGAATCCTGTATTAAGTACATTTGAATATTTTTTTTAAAATTCATTCAATTACTTTTATAAAATTGTACTACATTATTACATACAAAAACTTTATATATTAAATTCCATGTAGTATAGCCCTTGTTGCTGAACTTTATTCAGCCCATCATTTGCTCCTTCTAATAACATATGCAAGAATTACTGTTATCTGGTACAAAACAATTTTTTAATTGATTATATAAAATTCATCATTCAATTTACTTCTGCAAATGTTTTCCTGTTTTGCAATATAATGTGGGTTCACTCTTTGCATCTTTTTCCACCCATGTACCCTATATGTCATTCTCAGTCGATTAGGAATTCATATCATAAATAACTAAATATTGATAATTTTTACATTAAAATCGTTGATTGAAGTATACAAATCAATGACTAGCAATGAAGAACTTTTGAAACAAAAATTTAGTTAAAGTTTTAAATTGCCATTGTATGAGAAAATGTAAATACTGCTTTCTCACTTAAATGCTTTTAAAACACACAAAAAAAATAATTGACTTTTTTTCTTAGCAATAAATAATTTATTAAAAAAACATAGAAAATATTTTAAATGATATTTTTTTGAAAAGTTATTGAATATTTTTAAGAAAATAAATAATATTGCTAGGAAAATATGTAAATGACAGTTCATTTCAATTTCTGAAAATTTGTCGTATATTTTGTGTCTACAACCAGTAAACATTTTCATCCAAGCAACCCATAAATGATAATTTTATCTCTATCATTTTCTTCTACACTATCCACAACACCTAAACACACAGTAAAATATACTTTTACTTTATTGTCTAAACAATTTATTATAAAAAAAATAAGAATGTTTTTGAATCTGTATTACTAAGTACTTGATTACAAATTGCTATCGTAAATAATCGCAATCACTGATCACATATTTTTTCATAAAAATGAAAAAAATATTTTTGAATTTATTACAATATATTCTTGATTACCAATTCCTATTATTATTATTATTTCTTCAATAAAATGTGTACTTTTGATGAAAGTAAAGCATAATGTTTATAAATTAAAATCATTTTCCAAGTGAGTACTTGCAAACCTAACAGTAATTTATTTGCTTTATTCCATACTATCTGTTGGAGTTTCAGGATATTTGGAATAAAGTTCATCATCAGCATTGGCACGACAGCCCTTTGTGAGCCTGGGCCTTCCTCAGAAGCTTTTCCCATTCTGCCCTTCTCCCAGTAATTGATTTCCAGTTCTTTATTTTTAGGATGGCAAAATCCTCATCCACACAGTCTTTCCATCTCTTTTTGGGCCTTCCTCTTGGCCTTTTATTGAAGGGGGTTGCATTAA